TTTAAAAGTCGCTATCGTATCTGCTTCCACTACGTCCCCCAGCAGCAAGTTCCAGGCACCCACCACCCTGTGTAAAAAACTTACCTCATATATCACCTTTAAACCTTGCCCCTCGCACTTTAAACCTATGCCCCCTAGTAACTGACTCTTCCTCCCTGGGAAAAAGCTTCTGATGTCCACTCTGTCCATGCCTTTCATAATCTTGTAGACCTCTATCAGGTTGCCCCTCAACCTCCGTTGTTCTAGTGAGAACAACTCAAGTTTCTCCAACCTCTCCTCATAGCTAATGCCCTACATACTAGTCAACATCCTGGTAAATCTTTTCTGTACCCTCTCCTAAGCCATCACATCCTTCTGGTAGTGTGGTGACCAGAATTGAACACAATATTCCAAATGCGGCCTAACTAAAGTCCTATAAAGCTGCAACATTACCTGCCAATTTTTAAACTCAATGCCCCGGCCAATGAAGGCAAGCATGCCATATGCCTTGTTGGCTATGTTTTCCACCTGCGTGGCCACTTTCACTGACCTGTGTACCTGTACACCCAGATCCCTCTGCCTATCAGTATTCTTAAGGGTTCTGCCATTTATGTAGATTTTCCATCTGGATTAGACCTTCCAAAATGCATTACCTCACATTTTTCCACATTAAACTCCATCTGCCATCTCTCTGCCTAAGTCACCAACGGATCTATATCCTGCTGCATCCTCTGACGGTCCTCATGGCTATCCACAATTCCACCAACCTTTGTGTCATCCGCAAACTTACTAAACAAACCAGTTATATTTTTCTCCAAATCATTTATATATATTACAAATAGCAAAGGTCCCAACACTGATCCCTGAGGAATGCCACTAGTCACAGCCCTTCATTCAGAAACGCACCCTTCCACTGCTACCCTCTGTCTTCTATGACTGAGCCAGTTTTTTATCCACCTTGCAAGCTCACCTCTGACCCCGTGCAATTTTACCTTCTCTATCAGTCTGCCATGAGAGACCTTGTCAAAGGGCTAACTGATGTCCATGTAGACAATATCTACATCTGGGCGGCATGGCGGCTCAGTGGGGCAGCACAGTAGCTCAGTGGGGCAGCATGGTCGCTTAGTGGTGAGCACTGTTGCCTCACAGTGCCAGGGACCCAGGTTCGATTCCACTCTCGGGTGACTGTCTGTGTGGAGTTTGCACATCCTCCCTGCATCTGTGTGGGTTTCCTTCTGCAATCCAAAGGTGTGCAGGTTAGGTGGATTGGTCATGGTAAATTGCCCATAGTGTCCAGGGATGTGTAGATTAGATGTGAGTTATAGGGGGATAAGTCTGGGTGGGATGCTCTGAGGGTCGGTGTGGACTTGTTGGGCCGAAGGGCCTGTTTCCACACTGTAGGGACTCTATATAAAAAAAAATCCACTGCCCTCCCTCATCGATCATCTTTTTCACTTCCTCAGAAAACTCAACCAAGTTAGTGAGACACGACCTCCCCTTCACAAAACCATGTTGCCTCTCGCTAATATGCCCACTTATTTCCAAGTGGGAGTACATCCTGTCTCGAAAAATCCTCTCCAATAATTCCCCTACCACTGACATAAGGCTCACTAGCCTGTAATTGGCTGGATTATCCCTGCCACCCTTCTTAAACAAAGGAACAACATTGGCAATTCTCCAATCCTCTGGGATCTCTCCTGTCGCCAGTGACGATACAAAGATCTCCCTCAATGCCCCAGCAATTCTTCCCTTGCCTCTCACAGTATTCTGGGGTATATCCCATCAGGCCCTGGGACATAGCTACTTTAATGTTTTTCAATATCCCCAATACCTCCTCCCTTTTGATCTCAACATGACCCAAACTATCTACACACCCTTCCCCAGACTCATCATCCACCAAGTCCTTCTCTATGGTGAATACTGATACAATGTACTCATTTAATACCTCGCCCATTTCCTCTGGCTCCACACATAAATTCCCTTCCCTGTCGCTGAGTGGGCCAACCCTCTCCCTGGCTACCCTCTTGCTTTTTATATATATATGAAATGCCTTGGGATTTTCCTTAATCCTGTTGGCCAATGACCCCTCTTCATGACCCCTTTTAGACCTCCTGACTCTTTGCTTAAGTTTCTTTTGAATTTCCTTGTATTTCACCCTTGCTTTGTGTGTTCCCAGCCTCCTCGCCTTGACAAATGCTTCCTTTTCCTTTTTGACTAGGCTAGATGTTTATCTATGCTCTCTGATTTCTACCAGCCAATCTTCTTCTATCCATGTCATTGTGTTGTCCCACTCCCCCCACATACACACTCCAAGTGCTTTTACGCTGTATTATAACCTTTTATGTGGCATCAAGTCAACTGTTTTCTGGAAATGCAAACAAAGCGCATCAATCTATTTTTCTAATCAACCTGTTCAAAGATGTTAGTACACACCTCTGGAGCAGATGGACTTGAACCTGGGTCTCTTGGTTCAGGACTAAGGATACTACCACTGTCCCACAAGAGGATCCTACAGAGCAGCGATGAGCTCTTCTTTTATCCACAGAACATGTTGCTCCTAAGAACTACAATGAAGTGGTTAAACATGATTTTCCCTTCACTAAAGCACGCTGACTTTTCTCAATTACCTTGAATTTTTTAAGTGCCTTGCTATAACCCCAGTTACTGTTGATTCTAACACCTTCCCCATGACAGACATCAGCTAACTGACTGCTAGTTTCCTGTCTCCCCTCCTTCTTGAACCAAGGCATTTGCAACATTAGAGTTGGATGGTACGTGGCTTGAAGGGAAATAAGCAAGTGGTGATGTACCCTTAAATCTGTTGCCCTTCACCTTCTGCTGGTAGAGGTTATAGGTTTGGAAAATACCATGAAAGAAGCCTTGGTGAGTTGGTACAATAGTATGGGTGGCTCGGTGGTATGGGCAGCACAGTGGCTCAGTGGTTAGCTCTGCTGCCTCAGTACACCAGGGACCCTAGTTCGATTCTAGCCATGGGCAACTGCCTGCATGGAGTTTGCACTTTCTCACTGTGCCTGTGTGGGTTTCCTCCCACAGTCCAAAGATGTGCAGGTTAGGTGACTGGCCATGCTAAATTGCCCATAGTGTCCAGGGAGGTGCTGGCTAGGTGGATTAGCCATAGGAAACGCAGGGTTACAGGAATACGGTAGCGCGGTGATCTGGGTGGGAAGCTCTTCAGAGAGTCAGCGTGGACCTGATGGGCTTGAATGGCTTGTTTCCACACTAGTGATTCTATGATTCATCTTGTAGATGGTACATGCTATGTATTGGTGGTGAAGGGAGTGAATTTTGTTGATGGATAGGGTGTCAATTCAGTGGGTGTTTTGTCATGGAAGATGTTGACTTTCCTGAGTATTGTTTGGACTGCACCCATCCAGGCAATTGAACAGTGTTCACCATTCTCCTGACCTGTACATTGTTGATGGTAGAAAGGCATTAGGGAGACAGTAGGGGAGTTCCTTGCTGCAGAATTCCTGGTGTCTGACCAAGCACAAACACTTCTGTTTCCAAGCATAAACATTTTGTACTTTCTTCCTTGCAAAACAGCACCTTTAATCTCAAACAATCAAACTACCCAAGCTTGCTGTTATGCAGGTGTGAACACTGGTCACATGACCTCTTCCATTTTTACCTGAAATTTAAAGACATGGTTATAAAATGTAATAATCTTCTAAATATCTGAAGTGAACAACTCAACAGAGCAGATATGAATAAATTGAGAAAGTGAGGAAAGGAATTGAGTATTTCTAAGGGGTTAGAAAGAAGCCTCAAGCAGTTGTAGGAATGTTTAGTCAAGTGAGCAATTGGTACTGTCGAAAGTTTACTGCTAGAAATGAAGGGTGCAAAATGCACAGGCCTGTTTGGCAATGTGCATGCAGAAATGATTAGTCTAGTTAATTGAACTTTGCAGATCAGAATAAGAGCACTTACTTTTTGGTTTTCCAATTCTTTTTCATGGCTGAGATTATTTTTGTGTACCAGTTAAAAGCATACTCCAACATGTTTAAAGAAATGTTTCGTGCATGATATTAACTCATTCATTTCCCTGTAATTAGTTAGAATTTTTAACTTCTGGCATTCCTTTAGCGTAAATATTAAATCCATGTTCCATTGTTACTGATGAAATTAATCACTTATTTTGTACTTTCTCAACACAGTTCATAATTTTGAAAATCTTTATTAGATTCACCCTTTAACCTTCACTGTACCATTAAGCAAAATATCCAATTTTAGCTTTTATTCACTACTGTAATTGCCCCATACATTATACTTACATTTTACGTAAAACTGTCTTTGGTTTTTAACCTTCAAATAATGGATGCTAAGCATAGGATGCTGAAAAACAATCATGGTCTAACTGATGTCAAAACTTATAGGATCATCAAAGATGTCCAAAAGATGTGCAGTTTAAGTGGATTGGCCATGCTAAATTGCCCGTAGTAGACCAGGGCTGTGCAGGCTAGGTAGATTAGCCATAGCAAATGTGGGGTTACAAAGATAGGGTTGGGGGAGTAGGGCTGGGTGGGATGCTCTTTGGAAGGTCAGTGTGGACTCGATGGCTGAATGGCCTGCTTCCACACTGTAGGGATTCTATGATCACATTAACTATATGTACAATTCCAAATATATGTCTTCATTTATGAATCAATACAGGTGACAAGCACAACCGTCAAAATCAGACAAATATTAATATCCTTAAACATAAAGCATGACTATCACAACAGTACAAAGTATGTAGAATTTGCAGCACAGAAGGCCATTCAGCCCATTTTATAATAAGCAATTCGTAACATTTCAGGTTACAAATGAATATATCAGGCCGCCCCTTTCTAAAGAAAGATGAATTGTTACCCTGCTGACATATCGTTGTCATTCAGAGTTTTGGTGCTTCTCTGGACCTTTCTGCCCAGGTGGCCATGGCAACGAGCCGCGCCTGCGCGCTGCCGCCATTTTGCTGCTTTCCCGCCTGCTGCCGGGGCGGGGTGGTAACGGCGCATGTGCGGGCCTGGCGGAGGGGGGACATGCTCCTGTGAGGTAGTTCCAAGCCTTCTCCACCATAACTCACTTCGGGGCGCCTCTTCTTCTCCTCACCCCATCATTTACTGAGTGAATTGTCGGGATTGAGCACTCGTCTTCCCCCATCCCCATCCGAAATAGTAATCACTGGCAACATGATGTGAGTTAGGTTTATTTTAGCAGGTAGGTACTGGCCTTCCTCTGGGTAGGTCAGAGGCGCGCAAAGCCAGTGAAATTCATAAATTTGCAAAGTGCCGTTGCATTTTAGAAGTTAGCTTGACGACGAGGGAGGCTGCAGAATCGGACAACTCTGCAATTTTGAACGAAGGAATGGGTAACATCGTTAAGGCCCTGAAATCATTTAAGAGAGACCAACGTAGTTACAGAATTGTTTAAGCATGAAAGGTGGACCTTCAGCATATAATATCTGCATTGGCTCTCCCAGAGCAAGCATTTGTCTAGTGCACTTCCCAGCCACATGTTCTTCCTTTTCAAAAACTCCCAAGTAGGTTTTAAAACTTCATTTGAACCTGTCTCCCATTGTACTCACTGCATTCCTGATCGCAACCATTAGCTGAGTGCAAAGATTTTTTCCTTATGCCCTCAGTGATGATTTTGTCAATTACTTTAAATCTGTGCTTCTTGTTCTCAGTTTAATTATTTATTCTGACCAGATGTCCAGTGACATTATCACTGCCCTGGGTTAGTATTCCAGAAGCCCAGGCTAATGTTCTATTTTCTGGCTTGGAATCCTACCAGTGACCTTAATGCAGTAAGATTTAAAGTAGTTATAAATAAGAACAAAGATGGGCTGGAAATAAAGATTGTGAATTGGAGGAAAGCGATTTTAACAAGATATGACAGGATCTGGTCAAAGTGGGCTGAGAACAGAAACCTGCAAGAAAATGCCCATGGGTGTAGTGGGAGACATTCAAAAGGGTGACAGTGAGAGTGCAGCGATGGTATGTTCCTATAAAGGTGAAGGGTCGGATCAAAAACCCTCGATGTCAAGGCATGTGCAGGATTGCATAGGGTAAACAAGGTATGTCTGGTACTGAGAGCTGAGGACAGTAGGTGCCTGAGAGGAGTCAAGATAGTTGATGTGGTTACTTACAGAAATTGGGAAAGTGAAGAGGAGACATGAACAGAAAGATGGGGGTGGGGTAACATTAAGTAAAATCCAAAGATATTTTATAGGTAGTAAGAGGCAAGAGAATGACCAGAGAAAGAGTAAGTCTTGTCATGGACGAAGATGGTAATCTATATGTGGAGCTGGAACACACAGCTAAGGTTTTAAATGAGTAGTTTGCATCTGTATTCACTATAGAGAAGGACACTGTAGGTGTAGCAATAAGGGACGGGATCTGTGATATAATTGCAGAAATTAGCATTGAGTAGACTGAGGTTTTAATGGTTTTTGAAAGCTTGTAAGTGGATACATTCCCTGACTCTGATGACATGTATCCCAAGCTGCTGTGGGAAGCAAGGCAGAAGATTGCAGAGGCTCTGATGTTAAGTTTTAAATCCCCTCTGGCAATATGAGATGTGCCACAGGATTGGAAGACTGTTAATGTGGTACCATTATTCAAGCTGGGTGGTAGAAATAAACAAGTAAACCATAGGCCAATGATCTAACATCAGTGGCAGGGAAACTTGGAAAAAACCTGAGGGAAAATTAATCAGCACCCAGGCAAGCATTAATCAAGGATAGTCATTCTCCAGTGGTGTACCAGAGGGATGGATGCTGGGTCTGTTTTTGTTCATTTATAAATTATGTAGACGACTGTGTGGGGGGACAACACGATGATTGACCAGGTGGTTGATAGTGAGGAAGAAGGTGTTATCTTACAGGAGAATATAAACGGAATAGTCATTTGGGCAGATCAGGTTAAAAATTTAACCCTGAAAAGTGTGAGGTATGCACTTTGGTTAGACCACAGCTGGAGTACTGAGTGTAGTTCTGGTTACAGCACTAAAGGAAGGGTGCATTTGCACTGGAGGGTGTGCAAAAGAGATTCAGCAGGATGTTGCCTGTGATTGAACATTTTAGCTACGAAGGGTCAGTAACAAGTTTAAAGTGAAAGGCAGGAAATTAATGGATTAGAGAAAAATGTTTTTGGCTAAGAGGGTGGTGGGGTCTGGAATGCATTGCCTGGGAGGGTAATTGAAGTAGCAACCTCATAACCTATAAAATGTACTTGGATGAACAATTGAAGTGACATAAAATTTAGGGCTATGGGCCTAGAGTGGGAAAGTGAAATTAGTATAGGTAGTAGCATACTTGTTGCGGTACAGACTTGACGGACCGATGGGCCTCCCATATGATTTTATGGTAGTCAGCATAGCTTTTTCAGGGAAGATCATATGTAACAAATTTGATCGATTATATTTGAGGAGGCAACTAGGTGTATAGATGAGGATCATGCAGTTGATGTGGTCTAAATGGACTTCAGTAAAGCTTTTGACAAGGTCTTGCACAGCAGACTGGTTAAGAAGCTAAGAACCCATGGTATCCAAGGCAATTTGGCACATTGGATCCAAAATTAGCTTAGTGGCAGGAGGAAGATGATCAGAGGATTAGATAGAGTGGACAGTGGGAGCCTTTTTCCTCGAATGGTGATGGCTAGCACGAGGGGACATAGCTTTAAATTGAGGGGTGATAGATATAGGACAGATGTCAGAGGTAGGTTCTTTAGTCAGAGTAGTAAGGGCGTGGAATGCCCTGCCTGCAAAAATAGTAGACTCGCCCACTTTAAGGGCATTTAAATGGTCATTGGATAAACATATGGATGATAATGGAATAGCTTAGGTTAGATGGGCTTCAGATTGGTTTCACAGGTCGGCGCAACATCGAGGGCCGAAGGGCCTGTACTGCGCTGTAATGTTCTATGTTCTATGTTCTATGAAGAGGGAGATGGCCAAAGGTTGCTTTTGTGACTGGAAACTTGTGTTCAGTGGCATACCACAGAGTTTGGTGCTGGCTCCCTTGCTGTTTGAGGTGTATGTTAATGATCAAAACATTAATGTAGATGCCATGATGAGTAAGTTTGCAGATGATGAAAAAATTGGTTTGTATAGTAAAGAAGAAAACCTTAGACTACGGGATGATAAGAATGGGCGGAACGGTGGCAAATGGAATTTAATCACGAAAAGTGTGAGGCTGTGTATTTTGGGAAGACTACGAAAAAGCAAAGGACAACGCATTGAATGTTAGAATCATAGGACATACAGATGATCAGAAGGATCTTGATGTGAATGTCCAAAGATCCTTGAAGGCAGCAGGGCAGGTAGATAAGGTGGATCAGAAGATATATGGGATACTTGCCTTTATTAGTCAAGGCATTGAATACAAGAGCAAGGAGGTTATGATGGAACAACACAACATTATTTAAGCAACAATTGGAGTACTGTGTGCTGCACTGGTCGCCACATTATAGGAAGGATGTGATTGCACTGGAGAGGGTGCAAAGGAGAATGACCAGGATGCTGCCTGGGCTTGGAGAGATTCAGTTATGAATAGAGAATAGATAGGGTGGGGTTGTTTTACCTGGAGCAGAGAAGGCTAAGCAGGGCACCTATTTGAAGTGTAAAGCATTATGAGGTGCATAAATGGGGGCTTTTCCCCTCATTGAGGAGTCAATCACTAGTGACACAGTTTTAAGATAAGAGGCAGATTTTTAGAGAAAAATTTCCACCAGAGGTAATTTGTACCTAAAGAGGTGGTACAAGCAGGAGCCCTCAAGACACGTAAGTATTTAGATGTGAGCTTGAAACACCATTGTATACAAAACTACAGGCCAAGTGCTGGAAAATAGGATTAGAACAGATAGAGATAACAAAGTATGGAGCTGGAGGAACACAGAAGGCCAGGTAGCATCAGAGGAACAGGGAAGCTGATGTTTCAGGTCGGGACCCTTCTCAGCTTTCCTGTTCCTCTGATGCTGCCTGGCTTGTTATCTCTGACTCCAGCATCTACAGTTCTTGCTATCTTAGAACAGATAGATGCTTGATGACTGGACCTGACACAATGAGTTGAAGGGCCTTTTCACATTGTGTTAAAATCTTTTCAGTTTTCAGCACTAAAATGTCAATCGCTGACAAATGCTGGGTGTTGCATGTGTGCAGAAAATACATCTCTGGAAAAAATTTCTATTAGAAACTCAATTGAAATTGCCTTCTGTCCAATTCCCACAGGTTTGAAAGCTATTGGGAAATATCCCAAAGTGCCACACTACCTTGCTAAAGCTGCTAATTGTTGTATGGAAAATTGTTGATGTGCAGGGTTTTAGATATCTTTGTAAGAACATCTTTAAGACTGTGTTAGTAAAAGCAACACATTCAGTTACTTGGAATTCATCAGTTCTAATTGTTTTGCATGGCAGTGGGAACGTACATGGGGTGTGAAAATTCTCCTACATGAAGAAAATATGACCCATAAAAAAATTACATTTATATACTGCCTTTCAGGAATTCATTATGTTCTAAAATCCATACAGTCAATTGAGTACTTTTGGAATGTGATTACATTAAAGTTCTATTGGATTAGCGCAAATATTCAAGCAGTTTGTAAAATTTGCTTTTCTTTTCAAACAGGCAACCATGTCAGTGAGGCCTCAATTGGAAACATTTAATAATATGAAAATACACTACAGGCGTAGAAAGCAATGAGGTTGCAGAATGTAGAAGAAATATGAGAAAAGTACAAGCAACAATTTGGAAAGAATGACGGAAAGTGAAATTTTTCCCCACGATACAACTGTGTTTTTGGCAAAGTCATACGAAGACATCATGGAATATGCTGTGGAGCGGGGAGTTTCTGACAAAATGCGCATTATCACATTACAAGTAGTCAACATGGATGAACACATCCAGCCCAGCCTGACTGAGGTCAACTTGACAATGAACCAACAAGGAACTGAAATGATTCCAAATGGGCTGAGACAGGCGTTGGGTGGTGAGGGTGAGATCATGCACACTCTTCCACTCCCTGAAGGAGTACAAGTTTTTAAGGTATGAAGTTAGGAACTTACTGAAAAAGGGGCCTTTATTACTTAATGTCTTTTTAAAACCCTTATTTTAAATTTCAGGCAGATAATAACTATGCATTTACTCTTCAAGTTAAGCTGCATGCCACCAAGCTTTGTTGAGTTCTACTCATGCAACAAATAAACAATGAACAACAGGCTATGTCTTCCTCAAGGATTTCCACCAAGGTTAGGGCACAGGTGGACTGAGAGAAGCCCAGGCAGTCATGGAAATTTGGTCCTACCTGACCCCAATAGAAGCAGGTTAAGATTCATCTAGATAAGGTAGTATGTTTGTCTGTACTGTGCTTAGGAAGACGGCAGCAAAGCATTCATAAGTGAGGTGAGTTTTGCTGTTTACAATGCCACTAATGAAAACCTTTTGGCCCCTGCTGCTGGTTCAACCCCAGTGGACTGTCCGAAGCTAAAAGGTGTTGACCTGAAACATTAAAACTCTAGTTTCTCTCTCCACAGATATTGCTGCCCTGTGTGTTCCAACATAATCTGTCTTTATGAAAGGCTATCTACCTTCTATGGAGAAGATAGGTTTGATTTGTTTGGAATTGATTTGTCAGGTGACATGCCATTGATAGAAAGTTCTGAGCCAAATCAGCCTAATGTGACATTGATAGGTCTGTGATATTCCAGGATATTGCTGGTTGATTGCATTGTGATTATAATGAGGTCAGCCAGCTGGAGGTCATAGAATATGAGCTTGGGGCTGTTAATCTGGTCCAATCAGGGAGCCCTGGCTGACAGATAAAAAGAGGAGTGCCAGAGATTCTGATACTGGGTGCTGACTCTGATGAGGCTGTGCCAGAGTAAAGGACTTTCTGCGTGTAAATAAATGTGACTTGGTGATGGGATACTGGCCTCTGTAGAGTTATTTCAGTGGCAACAAGAGTAAAGCATGGTCCTGAAGAAACCTGTTTGCAACATTATCTTTAAGTTGTGATAAGCATTTCTTCCATCATACTATTACTTGGGAAGCTTGACTCATTCAATCCTGCCATTGAAGTCTGGACCCAGTATGTGGAAAGAATGTGTTATTTTTTTCTGGGCAGATGAAAAGAAATGATTCATTCTCCTGCCAGCCTGTGGACCTGCAGTTTTTTCTGTTATTAGGAGCCTGTCTTTCCCTGAGGCACCAGATATTAAAACCTTCCAAGAGTTGACAGATTTAGTTAAGGAATATTATGACTCCCATGCCTCCTCTAATTTTGAGATGCTATCGTTTTTTTCCTCATTCAAGAACCAGGAGAAACCATGTCATGATTTTTAACAAGGTTAGGTTGACTGGCAGAGACACTTGAGATTGGTTTATCCCTTAATGAGATGTGTAAAGACCGGTTGGTATGTGGGATTAATGATGTAACCATGCAAAAGTGCCTGCTAGCTAAAGCCCAAGTGGACTTTAAACAAGCACTACAACTGGCTTTATCATTGGAAAATGCAGAAAGTGGAGCATATGATTTGCAGAGAATTCTGGTGGAAGTGGATATCCTTGCCAGTCCAACGGAGCTTGGGGAACAGCACTTGTGTGCAGGCAATTGTATAGCATCACTCAGGACTTATCCTGATTACAGGGACTTCAGGTCAGCACAGCAAAAACCCAAAACAAAGCCAAGACTCAGCTAAATGGTTAAAATTTCCTTCAGGATCTAGGCTGGAAAGCCATTGTAGTTGTTGCCAGAATGCAGATTTGAGACAGTAAAAGGTCCTGTTAGGCCCAAATTGAGTAAGATAACTCATAGGCCGGTATCCAGGAGAGTTTGTATCCTGAAAAGTCCACCTACGTCTGGGTTGGAACAGTTAAATTGCTTAGCAATATCCAAATCAGATCCAATTAAAATAAATGTCTGGTTAAATGGTAATCTGATTCTAATGGTGGTTGGCACTGGCATGGTCATATCAATGATTGCAGAACCAGTTTCTAACAAAAGTTGATCTGGACTCCAACCCTTAGGTTTGTGCAAGACCTCAGGTATGCTGAAAACCTATATCGGGCAATCCTTACAGTTTATGGGTACAACTTTGACATCGGTCTCTTATGAAATGCAGCTGGTTCAGCTACAGTGATTGTAGTACAAGGCCCAGACCCAAACTTGATGGGGCAAAATTGGTTGAGAGAGATTCCCTGAGATTGACTTAACATTTTTTGATTAGAAAATGGCTGCCTGAGTGAAGTCCTAATGAAACACCCAGAAGTTTTCCTGGAAGGTCTTGGGACTATCAGCAGACCCAAGGCCATCTTGCAAATTGACCAGGAAGTAATTCCATGATTCTGCAAGGCCTGCCCGGTCCAAGAGGCAGAAATCAGAAGGCTGGAAAGTGAAGGAATCATTAAGTCAGAATGAGCAGCACCGGCCATACCAATTTTGAAGCCCAGTGGGTTGATACGCCTTTGTGGGGATTTTAAACAACCGGTAAGCGGGTTTTCACAGTTGTTTATGTACCCAGTCCATTGAACAGAGGAGTTATATGCAAAGATAGCAGGGGGTTGTCTTTCACGAAGCTGGACATAAGCCACAAGTACTTGCAATTGCTTAGATGAGGATTCCCAGAACTTTGCTATATTTAATGCCCAGAAGAGTTTGTACCAGTTGAGACTACCATTTGAGGTATTGTCAGCCTGTTCATTAATTTGAGGTATTGTCAGCCTGTTCATTAATTTGAGGTATTGTCAGCCTGTACATTTTTATTTTCAGCAGACAATGGAGAGTATTTTGCAAGGTGTACCCCAAAGTGCCATTTGTTTAGGTGATGTGCTAATAACAGGGAAGACTAATGAGGAACTCTTAGAAAACTTGAAGTAGTCTTTACTTGTTTGTTTAAGGCGGGTGTATGCCTAAGAAGGGAAAAGTGTGTGTTCCGGGCCCTCCAAGTGACCTACTTGGACTACAGAGTCAACAAAACTGGGTCACACCTGTTGGAAGGTACAGTGAAGATGATCAAAGGTGCCCCGGTTCCCATGTCCAACCAGGAACTTAGGTCATTCCTTGGGCTGTTACGTTATTACGGAAAGTTCCAACGTAACCTGGCCTCCATCCTGACACCTTTGCCTCAACTTCTTCAAAGAAGATCAGCCTTGGAAATGGTTGCATAGCCAAGCCAAACTGTCAGGGAAGTGAAAAAATAGCTACTGTCTTCTAAGGTGTTGGCACACTGGTCCCAAGCAAGATCATGCAGTACCTCCTCTTATGGCATCAGGGTAGTGTTAGCTCATACGTGGCCCAATGGAGAGGAACATCCAATAGTATATGCATCCAAGACTTTGGCTACCGCAGGTGCAAATGCACCTAGATGGAGAAACAAGGATTGGCAGTCATATTTGGAGTCAGGAAGTTCCATCAATACTCATATGGATGAAAATTTGTGATAATAACAGACCACAAACCCCTACTAGGTCTGCTTAAAGAGCACAAGGCAGCATGGCCCATAGCTTCAGGCCAAATTCAGCGGTGGGCTGTAACACTAAGTGTGTATAATTACAAGTTAGAACACTGTCTGGGAGGCCAAGTGGTGAATACGGATGGATCGAACCACCTCTCGTTGTCAGATACACCACTGTTGTTACCACCAGTGGGAGAGTCTGAAATGGTTTAAGTTGTCTGGACACACTTGCAGTCACACCTGACAATATCAGACTTTGGAGGCAGAAAGATCTGATCCTGTCAAAACAGAAACAACTGGTGGTGATGGGGAAAGCCAAAAGACTATCATAGCCAGAACCGAAACCTTTTTGGACTTGGAGAGACCAGCTTATAGTAGAGGACCGCATATTGTTGCAGGGAGCAAGAGTGATTGTCCCTAGCAAAGGCCGCTGCCAGATACCAACTAAACTCTTCCAGGGTTATCCAGGGGTCCCCAAAATGAAGATGTTGGCGAGAAGTTATGTCTGGTGGTCAGTCTTGGATTCAGTCATAGCCGCATTGGTAGGGCAGTGCCCAGATGCCAAAAAAGACAAAAATATACTGCCAGCAGCTCTCCTACATCTGTGGGAATAACCGGACAAACCTTGGACTCGGTTACATGTCAACTATGCAGATCTTTTCATAGGCTCAATGTTCTTAGTCATTGTAGACACCCACTCAAATTGTTTGTCATGCACAGAGTCAATTTGTCAAATATGGGAACCATGATAGAAAAACTGTGTGCATCTTTTTTCAATACATGGATTCCCGGAAGTGTTGGTCATAGATAACGGGCCATCGTTTACTAGCAGGGAATTTGGGTATTTCCTAAAGTCAAATGGTCTTTGATACATAAGGGCTGTTCCATACCTTCCATCATCCAATGGCTTAGCAGAAAAAGCAGTCCAAACTTTGAAAGCAGGCTTGAAGAAACAGCCTACAGCCTCACTAGATTACCAAGCTGTCCTATTTGATTATAGGACCACCACACATGCAACTATAAGGATAGCACCAGCAGAGTTGTGAATGCGTAGAAGTTTCTGCACCAGGTTAAATCTGATCTTCCCGGACCTGGGTGACGGGGGGAAGGGTGAAACGCCATCGGGAGCACCAGTGCTGGAACAAAGAGTCTGCCAAATGAAAGAGACAGTTTACTACAAGGGAATTAAGTTTGGTATGAGAACCAAAGAAATGGCCCTGCATGGATAAGAGGCATGATTGACACAAGGTCAGGACCAGTGACATATGAAGTTCAGGTTAGTGTGGTGGTCCTGACAGGCATGCTGACCGTATGTAAGCCGCAAACTTGCAAACAGTGTGAGAGCAATACATGCCCTGCTCCTCAGAACACACAAAGTCCTGCCAGAACCTGTGGGTTCACTCTGTCTGTAAAGTGTTGATGAGACTTCTGAATCTGAGATGGTCATGATGGATGTGGCCGTATTGATGACCTTCTATGAGTAATGCTTTCGCTGGTTGGCTATCATACCTAACTGGTAACCTACGGGGCTACATCCTTATCATTGAAGTATTGGGAAATAAACGCCTCATACTTCAAGTTACTTTGATGTTATTTTGTCAGTCCATCGCAGCTAACTATTTTTTCACAGAATCACAGCTTTCTTAGGGTACAGAGGAACACCATCCAGCACATTATGTCTGCATTGGCTCTGCAAATGAGCATCATGACTTAGTGCCATTCTTCCACTCTTCCTCCATAATCCTGCACTATATTTTTACTTAAATAGTCATCTAATGTTCTCTTAAATGCCTTGAATGAGCTGGCCTCAACTACACATGCGGGTGATCCAGTCCAGGTCTGAACAGTTTGAAAAAATTTTTTCTTGCATTACATTACATTTTCTGCAAATCACTTTAAATCTGTGCCCTCTTGCTCTTGATCAGTTAATGAGATGGAGCAATTTCCTCATCTCCTCTGTGCACCATCTCATGATTCTGAAAACTTCAGTCAAATCTCCTCTTAGCCTTCTCTTCTCTAAGGAGAACAGTCCTAGCATTTCAAATCTATCTTCATTACTGAAGTTTCTCATTCTTGGAATCGTTTGCTAAACCTTTTTTGTACTCCAGTGTATTCACATGCTCCCTAAAGTGTGTCATCCCAGAGCTGTGCGCAATACTTCAGCTGAAGTCTAACCTACCTCCTCTTACACTCTATGCCCAAATTAATAAACTGGGTTACTATATCCTTTATTTACTATTCTGCACCTATTCTGCCACCTTTAGTGACTTATGCACATGAACACCCTTGTCTCTATGTTCCCTTTAGAGTAGTACTCTTTATTTTATGCAGTCTTCCACGTTCTTTCTGCCAAGAAGTATCACCTCCACGCTTATTCACATTGAACGTCTCATGCCACCTCTCCGACCACTCCACCAAATCATCATTGTCCATTTGATGTTCTGCAGTGTCTTTCAGATTAGACATGACTAGATGCTGAGTGAAGAAGATGGTTTTATTTGTGATTTTTAGTTTGAGAAATAACTGATGAGGGCAGACCAAAAATGAGAGCCAGCTGGAAGGACTTCACTGAAAGCCAGAACTGGAGGACCAAAGGGTGGGGCGGGTGATCCAAATACTGTTGCATTTAAGTGTAGCAGCTTTACCAGTATTAATTAAAGGACCAACCTGGGTGGAAGTATTGCTGAGCAGGAGTGCAAGCAGGACATTTTAAAAAATGATAAATGGGAAGGGTAAATATTTAAAAAATATTTTTGAATCAGCAATTTGCATTGCAATCAATCTGTCATTGTGTACATCATTAAAAGATTAAAACTTGTTAATGACTATGTGTCAATGTGGCCACCAAGACTTCAGACTTGGATGATATCTGATTCTGAGTATTAATAATTAACAACTATATTTCCTCAAATCACGAACATAATGTACATAACAATACAAAAATTAGATCATTGGAACTTAAATATTGAACAACAGAATATAAGTGATCTGTTTTTTAAAAAATGCGCTTCATTGTATTTATGGCACGCATAAGATTATTTTTTATGGCAACCATTTGGACATTGCAGATTTGAGTATTATCATAATTCACTTGGGAAGGGAGTGTCAATAATCGATCCCAACTATTACACAAGCTGCCACATATATGTAACCACCCAATTAAACCAACAAGATGACCCATTTGCCTGACGTGATTGCTCTTTAGGACAAAAGTAATTCATTGTAGGCTTCATCATTAACTGGAAAATAATTATTTACCATAAGCAAATTTATTCTTCAACAAAAGTCAACAAACACAATGTGTTATTAATTACTATAATGCAACCTTAGCTATACCACTTTAAAACCCCAAACAATTCCTGAATAAGACAGACTGAAACAGATGGTTCGACACAAATATTATGGATGAGAAAATATTGACAGCAAGAAACAAATTATGTAATTCGTGAGTCCAGACCACAAGGGTAGGATGAGTTATTTCTTACAGTCTTTCCAGATGTTCTTATTGACGGTGACAAAATGTCTGCTGAGCGATGGTTGATCTTCAAGTCATTAGCTGATCGGATGGACCTATGTCTTTTCTTGTATTAGAAGCCTTTTCTAAGTTTTCAGTTTTGTCATTTTGACTCGGAGAAATGGCGAGAGGTGCTTCCTGTTTGCAGCTTCTGGTGTCTCCGAGTGCACACAACTCACAAGTTCGTAACAACTGCTGCTGGACCAATTCAACGACTGTTATTAGGCAGTATTTCATTAACTCAGAGACAGCTGGTGTCACTTTGTCCCATAAAATATGCATCTCACTGATCCAAAACGTAACATAATCCTGTGCAGTTGAAGTGTACACTAAACAATCCCACCTGATCTTCAAGTTGGAGTCATAGAGTCCTACAGCATGGAGACAGGACCTTCAGCCCAAACAGGTCCATGCTGACCAAAATGTCCATCTACGTTAACCCCACTTCCCTGCAGGCTCTGTGCAACAGAAGCCGTCTCCTGTCCCTTTGGAACTTGCAAAGGCTTTCCTGGTACTTTTAACTATAACGCAGGTTCAACTTTCATTTTACAGTTTGTAGTTGTAAAAAAACAAAAAAATGTGGTCTTTTATTGTGAAAGTTGGTGCGATGCCAGTGAGAATATGGAAAAAATCTTACCCTCGTTATTATTAATATTGCTATATAGTGATATACAAAAAAGTTCTGTATTTGTGCTGCATTTTAACATTTCTGTAATTGATAACATCTTCATTATTAGGTAGGGCCAAATGGAGAGATGCAGTGCATTGAGAGAATGGAACTGGATGCAGCCCATACTCCGGAAGAATGCGTAGACACAGTGATAGACCAATACCACGAACCTCTTGTCAAGAAAGAGAAAAGTAGTGTGCAGTGTGGTATACAAATTGAGAATAATACAGATGTGACCATTCATCATTGTAGAGGCAGACAGCTGGAGGGTCTACAACCAGATGTATCTGTTGAAAAAACTATTAGTCCTGCTAGACTTAACAAAATTAAGAAGAAAGGTTAGTCATTTTTATTTTGAGCATGTGTAACATTTGTTGATGGTTATTTAAAGCGTTTTAACCTTACCATCCCTATCCGTAGTGTGTAAAACTCATCAGTTTCCGGTTTCCTGCTCTTGTTGCTGCATGATTAGCTGCTAGGACGGCATGAAAGAAAAGTCCTGCACTGACTTTCAGCAATCTTCCTTGCAATGGGAGAATCAACTAATCTCAGTTTAACACAGAGTCCTATAAAATGCCTTATATTCTTACCTGCATGTATTCTTTGAACTGTATACCTTGTATTGCAGGGGAGCTAGTGCTTGAGTGTGGGGAAAGCTATGATATTACTGACAGAGTTAATGAGCCCTGGTTGAGCATTTCCAAAGAATTAAGAAGCCTGACCAAAAGATAATTGAAGAAATTTGTTATAATTTGTGATTCATTAATGTTTCAAACCATAGTCTTAAACAAAGAAGCAGAATTCAGCCAGATAGTTTGGGGCTTTTGAGAGAACAAGCTTTCAATGGGAATTTCTGGAAGTGAATCAGAATCGTCCACTTGGATTGTTCATGCACCAATGACTGCAGATCCTCTATCCTCCCCCTTTACCATGTAATCAGTTAGAATTGGCCCCTCTTTACCCCGACCCTAAACCATGGTCAACAGAAATTGGAATAAAACCAATTTTTAGTGGAATGCAGGCTGGAAGTTGCAAACATAAAGTAACAGCTAATGTTGATGTCATATTAGTTACATGTTTAGGATGTTGGCATGTTGTACATGTTGTCCCATCATATCACTGATCATTTTATATAGTATTAAATACAGCTTGGCTCAAATTGCAAACCTAACTGTTCCAAAACAAAGGATATGTTTCATAGAGACTGTACTTGTGTAAATACTAACACGTTACCAGTATGAACAGGGATGAGTTTTTATTCTTGGGTTTAACTCCTGCACCTGGGAATTTCGACAGGTGTAACTTTTAATCACTTATTGTAAACGCATCGTTGTTGCACATAAATTATTCAATTGGAAACACGGGTGATTTACTGGTAAATACTGAGAGAACTGCAGATGCTGTAAATCAGAAACAAAACAGAATTTGCTAGAAAAGCTCAGCAGATCTGGCAGCATCAGTGAAGAGAAATCAGAGTTAACTTTTCGGATCTGGTGGTCTGATGAAGGGTCACTGGACCCGCACCTTCTGTTTTTGTTGTTGTTGTTGGTGACTTACTGGTTTTGGCTATTAGATGGAAAAAAATACCATGGGTGATTTGGTGATGGGGGGAAAAAATGTTCAGTTGTGTGTAAGAGCACTTCTGAAATATAAAAAATTAGAAAAAAATTAATCAACTTGTTGGATTTGCCATGACACGGTGCAGTGGTAGACATGATTTGAATCTTCTGGTCCAGAGGTAGTGTCACTACCGCTATGCCACAAGGCCCTTTAAAGAAACATTTATTTTAATCAATCTGCTTAGAACTGTTATCCTGCTTTTTAAGGAAGGATATACTGGCAATGGAAGCAAGCCAGAGAAAGTTTATTGGGTTGATTCCAGATATTAGAATTAGAAATAGGTTTTATTGTCACTTGTACTCCAGTACAAAGATACAGGAATGTAGTGATACAAGATACATAGGTACAAAATCTTAGATAAAGAGCAGAAAAATAAAGAAATAAGTTAGAAGTTCAATATTATAGTTCTTGTCGGTATAAAGTAGTAAATAAGAAATAAAGTTAAAAGTTCCAAATTATAGTCCTCCTTTAGTTATAGGCCTGCAGTTGCTCCATGCTGGCCTTTCTCCAGGGGGACGTGATCTCTGTCCCATACTGGGTTTGATCTTGTCTTATGAGGAGAATTATCTATGGTTATCTAAGATTACAAGAGATCTTGATCAGGTTGTTGGTTTGCTCGTCGAGCTGGCTGGCTTTCGTACAGACGTTTTGTCACCATGCTAGGTAACATCATCAGTGTGGCCTCCGATGAAGCAATGTTGTTCTACTTTTGGAGTACTGTTTTCAGTTCTGGTCTCCCTGTTATAGGAAGGATATTATTAAGCTGGAGAAGGTTCAGAAAACATTTACCAGGATGCTGCCAGGAATGGCGGGTTTAGGTTGGGATTTCTTTCACTGGAGCGTAGGACGTTGAGGGGTATAGATGGGATGAATGGCTGGTGTCTTTATCTTAGGGTAGTGGATTTCAAGACTAGGGAGCTTATTTTTAAGGTGAAGGAAGAAACAAAGACATGAGGGGCAATTTTTTTATACAGAGAGTAGTTCATGTATGGAATGAACTTCCGGAGGAAGTGGTGGATGTGGATACAGTTACACTGTTTAAAAGACATTTAGATAAGTACATGAATAAGAAATGTTTGGAGGGATATGTGCCAAGTGCAGGCAGGTGGGACTAGTTTAGTTTGGGATTATGATTGGCATGGGCTAGTTAGACCAAAAGGTCGGTTTCCAATGCTGTATGGCTCTAAGAGAAGTTGAGTAGGTTGGGCCTATGCTCATTGGAGTTTAGAAGAATAAAAAGTGACCTTATTAAACCATATACGATTCTTCAGGAGTTTTACAGGGTATATGCTGAGATGTTGTTTCCCCTAGTGGAGGAGAACCAGAGGGCATAATCTAAGTGAGCCCCCACCTCCTCCACTGCTTCCAGTTAGGACAGAGGTGAGGAGGAATTTTTTTTCTCATAGCATAATGAATATGTGGAATTCTTCACTGCACAGGGCTGTAGAGGTTGGGCTAATAAGTATATTCAAGACTAAGATAGACAGATTTTTAATCGAATTGAGTTAAAAGGGAAAAGGCAGAAAAGTGGAGTTGAGGATGGCAGCACCATGGCTAGCACTGCTGCCTCACAGTGTGAGGGTCCTAGATTTGATTTCACCCTTTGGTGACTGTCTGAATTCTCCTCATGTCTGTGTGGGTTTCCTCTGGGTGCTCTGGTTTCTTCCCACAGTCCAAAGATGTGCAGGTTAGGTGAATTGGCGTTGCTAAATTGCCCATAGGGTTCAGGAATGTGCAGGCCATGTGGATTAGCCATGGGAAATGCAGGGTTATGGGTTTGGGGGTGGATCTGGGTGGGATCCTTTTTGGAGAATTGGTGTGGACTCAGTGGGCCGAATGGCCTGTTTCCACACTGTAGGGAGTCTGTTATTCTATGATTATCAGATCAACCATGAAATCATTAAGTGCTAGAGCAGACTCAACAGGCTGAATAGCCTACTTCCGCTCCTACTTCATGAACCACCTCCAGTGTAGATGCAACTTGAACTTGGATCTTTGAGACAAGAAGTAGGAAAACCTCCACTGTGCCACAAGTGTCCCTTTTTTAGTAACCTGTCCAGACACACTATGACACATCACATTGGTTGATGAGATTTGAACCTGGATCTTCTGACCTGGAGGGTAGGATACTACCACTGCAACACAAAACTTCTACATTGTAAACATATAGGCTGATCTAAATAGACTGCAGAGTCTCATGATAGCACACTTTCTGAATATGGAAGCAAATAAAGGTGGCTGTAGTCCTGACTCTTCTTGTTTGAAGTCCTATTATCAAGATTCCAGCATAATGGTACTGTGACCTGAAAAGACACATGGTTATGTTCCTCTTGCCTGGCAAAAAATCACAAGTAAGCTGAGGTATTTGTAACTTTGCAATGTCAAAGTGGCAATCTAGGTGATTGAAATCTGCTGCTATTATTTGCCCTTCCAAAGACAGTTATAGCTTGAGATACAATCATACTGGAGTACACATGACTATGGTTTGTAACTTGATGTGTATCATTGAGTCCCCTGTTTAGTGTACCCTTCAACAAGAGATATAAAAGGAAATATGCTCAAATTGTGCTAGGTCAACAATTGAAGGAAGATCCCACTAGCTATGGTGAATCTGGTACAACAAAGAGCTCCCAAGGCAATTTGATATTAGTTGGTTAAGAGCCAGGCAATGGGCATCAGTTTGGTTATGGGACCGAATGGTCCACTTCTGCTCCTATTTCATATGCTTGTATTTTGAATAGTTGATGCGGAATACCAGAGAGGTTTGAAGGTTCATATTCACAAATCTCAGGACTTCAAATGGATAAAGCCATAAGAAAGCCAATTGAATGCTGAGCTTGGTGATCATTAAACCAAATGTGCCAATATTATTTGAAGAAACATGCCTTGGAACTTAACCATGTTAAAATTAAACTCCAATAAGTGGAACAACTTAAAGTGAGGACTTATTGTATCGGCTATTGGATTCATTTGAATAAATCATCTGAAAACTGTGCAAGTTGTTCCATGGGTATGCATCCTCCCTTTTGATCTCCTTATGTATCTTCCTCCCCATATTGCACTTTGTGTAATCACTAAGAAAATAATGTGTTTTTGAGTCTTTGTTTTAAATTAATCAATTTTATCTTATATCTTTGTCGAGATAATTAGGAAATCTATTTTTGTGTAGCACAGAGTTAATCCTCAGCTGAATGTTCATCCATGACTACTGGTAAAGTAGTGTGAAATTTGTTGGCTAACATACTGTGGGATATTTTGAGATTGTAAGTGTCTTTTTTTTATTCTTTGAAATGCTTTTACTCGACAGATGTTAAGAAGACATTTCAGTGTAAACTATGTTCTTATACATTTACACAACGGTCTAATCTAGACCGTCACATGAGAAGCCATTCAGATGAGCGGCCACACAAATGTCACCTTTGTGAAAAGGCTTTTCGAACCATCACCCTTCTGCAAAACCATATAAACACTCATACAGGTAAATTAACTGTGTTATGCCTGTACTGTATTCGTTCTTTATTCATTCAGGGGATGAGGGTGTCACTAGCTAGGCAGCATTTATTGTCCATCCCTAATTGCCCACAGGGCAGCTTAAGAATCGCCCATGTTGCGGTGGGTCTGGAGTCACATGTAGGCCAGACCAGATAAGGATGGCAGTTTCTTTCCCTAAAAGACATTAGCGAACAGATGGGTTTTTTCCAATAATTGGCAATGATAATCTAATCTGATAATTAGATCCTTAATTCCAGATATTTATTGAATTCCAATTCCACAATCTGTCATGGCGAGATTCAAAGCTGGGTCCCTAGAACATTATCTGGGTCTCTGGATTAACAGTCCAGCGATAATACTACTGGGCCATCGCCTCCACTAGTTGTGGTAATGGTAATGCAATCTGTTTGGTCAAAGGGTAAGATTGGTTTGAAGAATCAGTACTACAACTCTGTCATTCTCCCGTGGCTTGTATGAGCTAGGCTTCCATAGTAAGTATTGGAACCACGAATTTACCATTCTATATTGGACTGTTCCACACTACCCTCAGAGATCATCCCAATAGCAATTTGAATCCAGGTCAAAATGTTAATTAGTTACTTTTTTAGATCCCATGGCTCTACCCTATCTTGGAATGGAGTAGATGATTTGAGGCCTCCCCATCATTATGAAAGTGATGTCTTTGGGAGAAATTGCTGTTTGGGAGAAGTAGAGATAAGCTGAATTTTAGCGTTATTAAAAGTAGACATAAGTGAATGTAAAAAGTGCATAGTCTCATTAACTGTCAAGTGCACAACGATAGAAGAACTAGGAACAGGAGTAAGCCAATCAGCTCCTCAACCCTGTTTTGCCATGCAGTGGAATCATGGTTGATCTTCTACTTTAGCACTATTTTCCTGTGCTATCCCAATGTCTCTTAGTGTTTTTAATGTTTGAAAATCTATTAATTTCAGTCTTGAAAATACTCAATGACTGAGTCTCCCCAGTCATAGAGTCATACAGCATGGACACAGACTCTTCGGCCCAACCAGTCCACACAGAACATATTCGCAAACTAAAGTAGTCCCATCTGACTGCTCCTGGCCCTTATCCCTCCAAAGCTTTCCTATTCATGTACCCGTCCAAATGTCATTATTTTATAAACTTCTATCAGGGCGTCACTCAACCTCCTATGCTGCAGTGAGAAATGTCCCAGCCTCTCTAGCCTTTTCTTGTAATTCAAACTTTCTGTACCTGGCAACATCTGGTAAATTTCTTCTGACCCCTCTCCAGCTTAATAATTTCCTTCCCATAACTGGGTGACCAGAACTGGACACAGTATTCCAGAAGAGGCCTCACCAACGCCCTGTACAACCTCAACATGACTTTCCAATTCCTAAACTCAAAGAATTGAGCAGTGAAGGCAAGCATGTCAAATGCCTTTTTAACCATCCTGTCTATATGTAACACAAACTTCAAAGAATTATGTACCTGCACTCCTAAGTCCCTCTGTTCTACAACACTACCCAATGTCCTACCATTAATTGTATAAGCCCTACCCTTGTTTGCCTGGATAAATAAGTTCCTATTCATCACAGACCTAAATGGCCTAACCCTTACTCTGAGACTGATCCTGGATTCCACCAGCCAGAGGACACATCCTTCCTGTATCTACTTTATTGATCCCTGAAAAAATTCTATGTTTGAGTAAGATCACCTCTCAATCTTCTGAACTCCAGTGAATAAAATCCCCATGTATTTAATTTTTCCTCATAGGATGATCCTTCCGTCCCAGTAATTAAATTGATGAAACTTTGATGCACTCCCTTTATGGCAAGTATACCTTTTCTAGGTAAGGAGACCAAGCAACACACAAGGTGTCATCTCATCAACAGTGCAAATTATTATGTAATTGCTGCAAGACATCTTTACCCCTAAACTGAAACCTTCTTGTAATAAAGTCAACCTACCATTTGCCTTGTAGCTGAATGTTAACTTTGTGAATCATGAACAAGAATATCCAAGTCCCTTTGAAGTTCAGCACAATGCAGACTCTTCTTTAGAACTGTCGGCAGACCTGTCAAATGCAGGTATCAAATTTTAAAAGGATTTATTAAAAGCAAGTATCAAAAGGTACTGCCACAAATTTCAAAAGTACTTTCCAAGGGAACAGCCTAAAATCTCAAGGCATTCAAAATTCTAGCCCTTTAAACAGAATAAGATATCAGGAGTGTTTTTAAAAAATTGCTTTTGAAATAAACTTGAGGATTGCCATTACTGAGTTAATGCTGTCTGGCTGATATATTTTGTAACACATGGGTACTTGGAATTTCATAGTTTGATTTAGAATAATAGAATCCGTATAGTGTGGAAAGAGGCCATTTGACCCATTAGGTCTGTACCAACTGTCGAAAGAGCATCCCACCCTATCCCGCCTAGCCTACACCTTTGACACAACGGGCAATTTACCAAATATCCATTCCATGTAACCTGCACATCTTTGGACTATAGGAGGATAACTGAGCACCTAGCGAAAATCCTCACAGACACGTGGACAGTGTGCAGAATCCACACAGTCGCCCAAGGGTTTTGAATTGGGTTCCCTGGCACTTTAAGGCAGCTGTGCTTGCCACTGTGCTGCCCTAAATTCAAATGGTTTACAACTCTTATGGTTATATAATCTTTGAAGAGGCCTTATTAATTCCAGTGTTTGTGATCGTGAGGGATGGAATCATTAGACATGAGCGTGGAAGCAAGTCATTCAGCCCATCAAGTCTGCTCTAACTTTTAATGTAATGATGGCTGATCTGATCTAATCTGATCTGATCTTCTCATTTTCCTGCCTTTCTGCCATAACTCTTGATTTTAAAATCTATTTCAGCCTTGAAAACATTTAATAAGCTAGATTCTACTGCTGTCGGCAGTAAAGAAATATATAAATTCATTACCCTCAGAAAAGAAATTCCGCTTCATCTCTGTCTTAAAAGGGTGATCTGTTATCCTGACATCATGTCCTCTAGTTCTAGACTCTCCCGCAAGGGGAAACAACCGATCCACATTTAACTTGTCATGTCCTCTAAGAATATTACATATTATCTTCAGCGGTTCGTCGCAGACAAGGATGACTCTCTTCCACTCTCAGGATGAGTCTGTAGATAGCTGTATAGACCAATATTACATATTTCAGTAAGTTTGCTTTTCATTCTTTTAACTTCCAATGAGTACAGGCTCAATCTACTCAACCGCTCCTTGTAAGGCGGTCCTTGTAAGGTCAGCCTCGTGAACCTTTTGTAGATTGCCTTCAATACCATTATATCTTTCCTTAGATAAAAGCCCAACACTATTCACAGTAGTTTTAGCACAGATTTTCCGATTCTTATATTCCATTCCCTTTGAAAAAGAAGGCTAGCGCTCATTGCGATTTATGTACGATTACTCCCCTATCCATCTGTGCAGTAATTTTCTACAGTATTTCTCCACTTAAGTAATACTTGACTCCTCATTCATTTTGCCAAAGTGAATAACTTCACATTTTCCCACGTATTGCTCGAGGGAATAGTCCCAAACACAAATGCTATGAAATTTTTCTTTTGGCTACCTTTGCTAATCTGACTATCCCAATCAACATGAAGATTAAGTCAGCCATGATTGGTATACTGCCTGTTTTACATGCCCTCATTGTGTTTGTTTCATTCACTGGTGGGTTAATGGGTGTCGCTGGGTAGGCCAGAATTTATTATCTATCTCTAGTTGCCCTTGAAAAGGTGGTACTGAACTGCCTTCTTAACTACTGCAGTTCGTGTACATCTCCTGATTTATTCTCTGTCCTACCATATAGCTACTGCTAGGAGGCCTATAGACTACTTGTGTTGTCTTCCCCTTTTTATTTCTTACCTCCATTCATGTAGATTTTACACCTTTTGATCCAAGATGACTTCATGCTATCGTACTTATTCCATTCTGTACTATGCCACCATCCTTTCCTTACTGCATGTCCTTTAGAAAAGTCATATATCCCTGAATGTTTAGTTCCCTTGAATGAATATTTCACAGAATCACAGAATCCCTACAGTGTGGAAGCAGGCCATTCAGCGCATTGAGTCCACACCAATTCTCCAAAGAGGATCCCACCCAGATCCACCCCCAGACCTATAACCCTGCATTTCCCATGGCTAATCCACGTGGCCTGCACATTCCTGGACACTGTCGGCAATTTAGCAACGCCAATCCACCTAACCTGCACATCTTTGGACTGTGGGAAGAAACCAGAGCACCCAGAGGAAACCCAGAAGAAACTTAATGGGCTGAATTCAGACAGTCACCCAAGGGTGGAATCAAATCTAGGACCCTCACACTGTGAGGCAGCGGTGCTAACCGCTGAGCCACAGTGCTGCCATCCTCAACTCCACTTTTCTGCCTTTTCCCTTTTAATTCAATTCGATTAAAAATCTGTCTATCTTAGTCTTGAATATACTTAATAGCCCAGCCTCTACAGCCCTGTGCAGTGAAGAATTCCACATATTCATTAATGCTATGAGAAAAAAAATTCCTCCTCACCTCTGTCCTAACTGGAAGCAGTGGAGGAGGTGGGGGCTCACTTAGATTATGCCCTCTGGTTCTCCCCCACTAGGGGAAACAATATCTCAGCATATACCCTGTAAAACTCCTGAAGAATCGTATATGGTTTAATAAGGTCACTTTTTATTCTTCTAAACTCCAATGAGCATAGGCCCAACCTACTCAACTTCTCTTAGAGCCACACAGCATTGGAAACCGACCCTTTGGTCTAACTAGCCCATGCCGATCATAATCCCAAACTAAACTATATTTACTTATAAGAAATACATAACTGAAGGAATTGAAATGTAGTTTTATTTTATAAATCTGAGTGTTTTTGTAATAACCTCTGCAACATATACTTCGAGCGTTATGTTATTTAATCTCGGTATGGCTCCTGAGGTCTGCCCACAGTGGATACTTGATGAGGTGGCATGGCGGATGTAAGAGTGAAGGATGGTGGAGATGACTTGGCACTAGATTGTTATAGGGGCTTTAAAGGGCAATGAAGGTGGGCAAGGAGAATAGGTTGGCATGGAGGGTATGAAGAGTTATGTGTAAGGTGGAGTGGCTTAGTATGGCCTGGAATATATGGGAGGCTGTGAAGAGGAGCACAGGTTAGCATGGAGGATATGAGGCATGATGGAGAGACATAGCTTGCTAAGGAGGAGTTATGTGGAGGTAATGGAATAGTGGTAATGTCAGTGCTGTAAAAATCCAGTGCAACAGGCTAATGTTCTGAGACATGGATTTGAAACCCATCCTGGTAGATAATAAAATTTGAATTCAATAAATAAAAGCTGTAATTAAAAGCTAGCCTAACTGTTGCTGATTTTTTTTATATAACAACCTGAAACAAGAAGCGAAAGTGCTGGAGAAACTTAGCAGGTCTGGCGGCATCTGTGGAGAGAAAAACAGAGTTAATGTTTGGAGTCCATTGACCCTTCATCAGAACTGAATTACTGATGTTCTTTAGAGAAAGAAATCTGCTATCCTTACTAGGTCTGGCCTACACCTGACTCCAGAACCATTGTAATGTGGTTGATTCCTAAATGGCCCTCTAAAATGGCGTGGAGAGTCAATTAGTTCAAGGGCAGTTAGGGATGGGTAACAGATGATGGTCTTGCCAGCGATATTCCCATCCCATTACAAGAGTTAATTGAAAATGGGTTGGCTTAGATCAAGCATGGGGAATTTGTGGAGGTGATAGCTGGAGAGAGATTTTTTGTTCCATTTCTTTAAAATTTTGGACACAGTGTCGCAGAACAATGCTTGCTCAACCTAACTCTGTACCTCACATCTTCTGCTCTCATTCCCGGGCTGACAGGACTCTAGGGAAACCCTCACATCCTGGAACGAATTATAATTTACAGGATACTTTCACCTGGATCGGATTTGTGGATCTGGGAAATGTTCCGATGCTGCCCTCCCAACCTGGGAGTGAAAACCCCGGTCCTAATTGTCTGCCTATTGTCAGCACAGCTGCTGGCATTGTTGTTCACTGCTGTGATGAATATCTTGCTTCCTTGTTCCTGTAAAACAACTTGGGCCCCTTTACCAAGTAAATTATCCAGGTGTATTTTCACCAGAATTTAGAGCATGGTATATGATCGCCTTCATCTTCCCCTTAGCCCTTAATTAAAGACACAGATCAGAAACAAATAATCTTATTAACATTGTATTTATAACACTTACATTTTAAATTTGAATTCAGTCATTTATTGTCCAAAAAATAATCTGCATCCTTAATCAGTTTTAATCTGATTAAAATTAAATCATTTATCTTACTGCAACTTGTTTTTTAGGCACTAGACCACATAAATGCCCTGACTGTGCTATGGCATTTGTTACGAGCGGTGAGGTGGTGCGACACAGACGTTACAAGCATACCCATGAAAAGCCCTTCAAATGTTCAATCTGCGATTATGCTAGTGTTGAGGTGAGTGCAGTACAGTTCTGTGTCTGTGTGAGTGCTAAAGGACTGAGTGGTTTTGAAAACTAAGGACAGGATTTTCTGCTCTCCTAGTTCCCCAGGAGCAGAGGAGTAAACTGGAGGACGTGGGCAGGCGAAATCTGCCACGTGATATATGACTCTTTTATGTTGCTCAGGGATTTCTACAATGTTACAAATGTAGGGCAACCATATAAAATCATGGGGGTGTGTATAGACAATATCCATTTCATTTTCCTCCACATATATTAAGGAAGGGGAGCAGAAGAAATATGTAATAGGCCTTGTATGCAATCATGATGTTGCCACTGGGAGACAAGCCAGAAAGCAGTTTCTTCTTTCTTCCACATGGTCAGCAGGATGCAGTTTGTATCTGGGCTTGATGGCCTTTTGATTGTTGTTTTAGATAGCAGCCTAAAGGGAAGGAAGGTAACAGTTATCATCACTACTGTGGACTCACGCTGGAGATGTGTGAATGACCTGAACCCAAAAATCCACATACCTTGCAATTCAGGTGCATTCATTTATCTATATTCAGGCTAAGGACAATAAGAAAAATTTAGAAACAGGAGATCTGAATTCATATCCAACATAAATTGATTAAGTTAGACCATTTTTCCTTGCTTCCTACATTCACTATTCCTCTCTTTCAGTTGTAAAGGTCTCTTTTATCCATATGCTTGTAATATTACAATATAACAATAAAAACTCATGCAGGATGAATGGGATGACTTGATGCTTTACTAAAAATATCTGCAATCTCTGTTTTTTTCATAAGCAGGAAACTGGATTATTTTTCATTAAGATACCGTTGTTTTTTTCCCAAAGAGCTGAAGGAAGGACAAATTTGAATACATTGCAGTAAATTCGAGCACATCTCATATGGCATCTAGGATTCTTTGTCTTGAGGCACTTTGCTATAGAATGCCACAAAACATAAGGGGGAATTTAATTTAGAGCAGGAAAGTCATATGAATGTCTATTTCATTTTACTACCAAACAAAATACACTGAAAATAGTATGGAGCTTCTAGGAATCTATTTAAATGCTTCAATGCTTCAACCTTTTTGTTTGCTCTGGGATGGTGAGAACTGTTTCCTGTATATCCAAAGCAAAAGAGGGTATCATACTTTTAATAAACAATGTCTTTGGTGTGTTTGCAAAATTAACTAGAAATTAAGATAAAAACCAGAAATTGCTGGAAAAAGCAGGTCTGGCAGCATCTGTGGAGAGAAATCAGAGTTAACATTTTGGGTCCAGTGACCCTTCTTTAGAACTGATAGTAGGTAGGAAAAAGTTGTTTTTTATGCAAAAGACAGGATGGGGGACGGGGTAAGGAGTAAGCGATAAGTGGAGATAGAGCCCAAAGGGAGAGAAATACAGTTGGACAAAGGAGTGAATAACGGTCAGCCTATGAGAATGAATAACTGCTAATGGGGACTATTAGTGGCTAACAGTGGGTTGTGTATACACTCCTTTGTCTGTTCAACTCTCTCCTTGTCCTCAAGGGATATTGGATCGGGAAGGGGAGGATACAGTTGTTGTCACGGTCCACGTTGGATTAACAACATTGATAAGAGATCCTGTTTGGGGAATATCAATAATTAGGAACAAAATTAAAGAACATCTCTGGATTATTACCCAAGCCACATGTAAATTGGCGTAGCGTAGAATTGGCAAAGTAGAAGTAAACACGTGGCTGAAGGAATGGGAGAAAGAGGGGCTCCATTTGAAGGGGCACTGGTGTCAATTTTGGGACAGGAAAGAACTCTATTGTTTGGATGGGTTCCACCTTAACTGATTTCGGATCAGTGTCCTGGCAGAAAGGCTAAATAGGGTGGCCACAACCACTTTAAATTTGTAAATGCGGTGGAGAGGGTTCTGGGGAAGTAATACAGTTTCAAAATCAAGTATCATGACAGAGTGAAGCAACAGTCAGGAATCCTGTTTCAGATAAAGCAGGTAATGGCAAAACTTTAAGTAGCATATTGATTACGCTGGAAGAGGGAAATAATGAACAGGTGAATAAAGCATCAGTGCTAAGGGACAACATACAGAATATCGCTGAAGTGAGTTGTTCTAGATGCAAATGCACAGAGAGTAAGGAATTGGAGAATATTGGAGAGGATTCTTCGAGACAGGATTTACTCCCACCTGGAAAATCAGTGGGCGTATTAGCAAGAGGCAACATGGTTTTGTGAAGGGGAGGTTGTGTCTCACTAACTTGGTTGAGTTTTTTGAGGAAGTGATGAAGATGATCGATGAGGGTAGGGCAGTGGATGTTGTCTACATGGACTTCAGTAAGGCCTTTGACAGGGTCTCTCATGGCAGCCTGATAGAGAAGGTAAAGTCGCACAGGGTCAGAGGTGAGCTTACAAAATGGATAAAAAACTGGCTTGGTCATAGAAGACAGAGGGTAGCAGTGGAAGGGTGCGTTGCTGAATGGAGGGCTGTGACTAGTCGCGTTCCTCAGGGATCAGTGTTGGAACCTTTGCTATTTATAATATATATAAATGATTCGGAGGAAAATATAACTGGTTTGATTAATAAGTTTGTGGATAACACAAGGTTGGTAGAATTGTGGATAACGATGAGGACCGTCAAAGGATACAGCTGGATATAGATCGGTTGGTGACTTGGGCAGAGAGATGGCAGATGGAGTTTAATCTGGAAAAAATGTGAGGTAATGCATTTTGGAAGGTCTAATCCAGATGGAAAATCTACATAAATGGCAGAACCCTTAAGAGTACTGATAGGCAGAGGGACCTGGGTGTACAGGTACACAGGTCAGTGAAAGTGGCAATGCGGGTGGAAAAGGTAGTCAACAAGGCATATGGCATGCTTGACTTCATCAGCCAGGGCATTGAGTTTAAAAAATGGCGGGTAGTGTTGCAGCTTTATAGAACTTTAGTTAGGCCGCATTTGGAATATTGTGTTCAGTTCTGGTCACCACACTACCAGAAGGATGTGGTGACTTTTGTGAGGGTATAGAAAAGATTTACTAGGATGTTGCCTGGTATGGAGAGCATTAGCTATGAGGAAAGGTTGGAGAAACTTGGGTTGTTCTCACTGGAACGACGGAGGTTGAGGGGCGACCTGATAGAGGTCTACAAGATTATGAAGGGAATAGACAGTGTGGACAGTCAGAAGCTTTTTCCCAGGGTGGAGAGTCAGTTACCAGGGGCCATTGGTTTAAGGTGCGAGGGGCAAGGTTTAAAGGTGATATACGAGGCAAGGGTTTTTACAGAGAGGGTGGTGGGTGCCTGGAACTCGCTGTCAGGGAAGGTAGTGGAAGCAGATACTATAGTGACATTTAAAGGGCGTCTTGACAAATACATGAATAGGATGGGAATAGAGGGATACGGTCCCCAGAAGGGTAGGGGGTTTTAGTTGTGATGGCACATGTCGGTGCAGGCTTGGAGGGCCGAAGGGCCTGTTCCTGTGCTGTAATTTTCTTTGTTCTTTGAATAAATTAAATGAGATGCACGCTCAAATTCAAGTTGGAGATTATGATATAGTAGTCATTATTGAGACATGGCTGCAGGCTAATCAGGATTGGGAATGAAATATGCCAGATTAGAACGTTTACAGGATGGTCAGGGAAAATGGCAGAGGGGTGGAAGTAGCCTTAATAATTAGAAACAAATTTACTTCAAGGGTGAGGCAGGATATAACAAAGGGAAAGCATCCAGTGGAGACTGTATGGATGGAACTGAGGAACAGTAAAGGATGTAAAACTGTATTAGGTGTTGGGTACAAACTTGGTAGCAGCTCTGAAGTGCTAGATTGTATAAATGCAGAAATCAGGAAAGTATACAGCATAGCCAGAGTAGGGGATTTTAACTTTAACATAGATTGGGAGAGGTAGACAAGCACCTGACAGAAAGGGAGTGCATTTCTGGAGTGTGTCAGGATATTTTCCTACAACAAGATGTCCTGTATGTAACAAGGGGACAAGCAGTATTGAATTTAATAATGAGTAATGCACCAGATTAAATTAGTAACCTAATTGTGTGTGGACATTTATCAAATAGTGATTATAACATGATTGAATTTTAGATTTACGTATGGCCCACTTTAACAAGGTGAGATGGAGACTATCCACCACTAACTGGGAAATTCTGCGAATGGATAAAACAACTGAAGAACAGTGGAGAGTGTTTAAAGAACAATTTAATATAATACAAAACCAGTTTTTATCACTGACAGGGAAAAGCTCCACTTTATAGAAAAAACAGCCATGAACAATTAAACAGATAAGGGACAGCATAAAACTAAAAGAAAGGGCTTATAAAAATACGAAACATAACAAAGATCTTGCAAATTGGGGAAGATACAAAGACCAGCAAAGGGCCACAAAGCAACATATAAGAGCCACTAAAAAGGATTACAAAAGAAAACTTGTCAAGTACATCAAAAACAAAAAGAAGACATTTTCTAGTTACATAAAGGGAAAATGGGTGGTCAGGAGGAATGTTGGCCCAATAAAGACTGAAATGGGGTTTTTATCAATGACTATGGAAAAGTGGCAGATGAGCTGAATAATACTTTGCCCAATATTTACACTAGAAAAGAAGGATGGTTTGCTGAAAGTCCTGAGGAAATAAACAGTGGATCGCGATTAGGGACTGAATAAAATAAATGTAAATAAAACATTGGTAAGGAAGAAATTAATTTTTTTAATATTCATTTGTGGGATGTGGCATTGCTGGCTGGCCAGCATTTATTGTCAGTCCATAGTTGCCTTTGAGAAGGTGGTGGTGAGCTGCCTTCTTGAACTGCTGCAGTCTAACTGCTGTGGGTTGATCCATAATGCCATTAGGGAGGGAATGCTAGGATTTTGACCCAGTGACAGTGAAGGAACGGCAATATATTTCCAATGTAGGATGGTGAGTGGCTTGGATGAGAACTTAAAGGTGGTGATGTTTCCACATATCTGCTGCCCTTGCCCTTCTAGATGGAAGTGGTCATGGGTTTGGAAGGTGCTG